TTGTTGATTGATGCACAGAACCCATCTATCATTTGAATTTCTGAAACCAGCCAAATATTGCATTACCTGTGCCACATAGCTTGCACAAACCGATGAAGGCAATTAGGCGAATGCTTTCATATGGTAGAGCCACTAGTAGTACCTAATTGACAGACAGCAGCCTAGCAATCATCAGAAGAGAAATTTGCTGTGACTACAAGGATTGAAAATATGGAAAAAAGGATGGAATCAACAAATAAATTTTCCCATGGACAAATCGTGAAAATCAACCCCAAATGAGGGACGAGATTCAGGTAAGGAATCGACTACTAGTTGAAACTGGATGATGAACACAATACAAAGAGAAAGGAGAGGGAGCAAACCGACACGCGACACCTCACCCGAGCTCCCCCAGGAGAGCTCCAACATCGGATTCAGGGACGGGCGGACAGTGGCATTCACCAAAAAATCCGCTACGCAGCTCCAATAAAATGCAAAATACAAGATTAATGGGTAAGAGGAACAAAAGGTTTCAGGGGTGTTGGTGGGTCTGAGATTAGCTTGGATCCAACTCCTAAACAGAAGCAAGCCCAATTAGAACCTTTATGCCGCACGGAAATCAAGCTGGATCGAACGGCGATCCTGTCGCCTGAATAAAACCAAAAACTCAGGTGTCTGGCAGATAGGAGAACTGAGCAAGTATATAAAGCGTCGATATTTCATCAGGCTACCTAAGTCAGCCATCATGAGCATCTTACAAATACATAAAAAGGTAGCGAATGATCATAGACGTTCACCCTAATACCTACATGACCCTAAGACCTACAACCCCCAAGCATAAACATATGTCACAAGCACCGAAATGATGTAAAAAACTGACGCATCAGGTTAGCTGCTTCCAAGCAGTTAGAGATTGGCCAAGACACTGAAACTCCAGTTTCGCATCGCCATAGGCTTCCTTGAACTTGCTATGCTTTGACTTGAGTCTCGAGAGCTTTGTGCCTTTAGTTTCCATCTCCTCTGCAATCTTCTGGGTTTCCTGGCGAAGGGCCCCAAGTCTCGAGCTCAGCTATAGAACTATCTTTTTCATCGAGCAGTGCACACATTCGGGTTAATGAAGCTGTCTCCACCTCTATCTTTTTTTTTTCTCGAATACGCAAAAGATTTACGTATCGTTGTATTAAGGAGAAAAGTTTAAACAAACAAACATACAACGCATTTTTATCGAGCGCCGAAGAAGGTCGACCTAACACAGCCGGAGCTGGACCATCCTAACAAAAGACCTCTTCTTTCGATATTACATAAAAGGAAACAACAAATATCGACGCAACTTTGTGACCTAAGAGATGGCCTTACGTCCTCACAACTGCCTGGACGGGGCCTTTTCAACGGCCGGGAAGAGCTCGTCCAGCGCCTCGGCTTCGGACGCAGTCAGGTTGCCGTCGAAGAGCTTGTCAAAGACCTCCAGCTCCGAAGCGGATGGTGCTGATGGACCATTGGTGTAGCCCATATGCTGCATGATCAACACCTCACCTCGTTTGGAAGCTGGCACTCGGGAGAGGCTCTGAGCCACCAACGCCTGCTCCGCACGGTAGTACCGGCTTAGCAGGAGGCTGCTTGGGAGGCTCGTGAATCAGGAGAGAGTCCCTCTTACATGTGACATTGTTGATGAAGCTGTCGAGACGACGTTTGGTGGAGTCGTCGTTGTCCAAAGCCTGGTGGGTAACCTCCGGTGGTGAACTGGGAAGGCCAACATCCACCGTTAGGTCGACCGTGTGTGTCTTCAACGAGTTCACTGTCCACTGAATGGGGCGCGGGGGTGGTGTCCGCAGCTCACAGGAGACCACCGCCGGGTCCACATCCTCCAGCTGGGGGGGCGCCATCGCCGGGGCCTCATCCTGTAGCCGAGGGGGCGCCAAAGGTGACGAGAGGCGCTCAAGGGAAGGCCACGCGACGATTCGACTGCCGACGAGCGAGGCTGTGAACTCCTCAACCATCGGGTCCTCTGAGATGTCACGATCATGCGTGGCACCCGGGTACATTGTGAGTGTCAACGGGTCGGGCTCAACGATGCCCGTCTCGTTGGTCGGCCCACCGTGCCTTGCCTGAGCTCCAGCAGCGACCGAGGACAAGTCCGGTGCCGCTTGGACGGCCCCTGTCGACCGCCCGTGACTGTCGGTGGTGACACTAATTGCCATAGCAGTGTCATCCCCCTTCCGTCGGCGCCGACGTTTCTGACGTCTCCGCCGTCTGCGCCCACCGTCGCCACACGTAGTCGACCTAGCATAGCTGCAGCCGCACTCGGCATAGCTCCAGCCATGCTCGGCGTGTCGCCTTGAGCATGCGGCCGGTTGCCCAAGATACGCTCCCGGATAGGTCGTCGTTGCTGGCCTTCTGGGGCACCAAATGTGTTGGATCTGGAAGGAGGCACCGTCCGCCGCCGCTTACAGTCCTGCGCGAGGTGTCGGAACCTCTTGCATCGGAGGTAGCGTGGAGGCAGCTTGCAGGTTGCCACCTTGTGCACGGTAGAGAGACAGTTGAAGCACTTCCCATGAAGATCCACCGGATAGCGGGTAGGGGGCCGCTGGTTTGCCAATGCAGTGTGGCAGGGCGCGCCCCGCCGGCACTGCTTGATGACTCCTATGACAAGACCTCACGCCACCCATCGCCGTCTGGAGCGGAGATGCGTTGGCGGGCAAAGCCCCATCCACGACGTCCGAGATGTTGGCGGGTAGGGACGCGGCCATCCATGGGCTGAGCAGGCAGGCCGTGCACCAGCTGGGGCGCGGCCGTGGCCGGCGAGACCTGCGGTTGCGCCGCCCGTGCACAATGCCAACACTAGTAGCACTGTTGTGTGTGCCTCCGGCGATGGTGGCTGGCCGGGCTTCCCCAGCCAGGGGTGCTTGCCCCACTCAGCAGCAACATTGCCACGAGTGCCGGAGCTATGACCCCTGGCGGACTGCGTCGAGGTAGGAAGTTGGGGAGCTGACTGGCGACCTCTCCGCGTCGGAGTCGTCAAGGTCCTCATCCTCCCAACGAAGAGCCTTGGAATGCCCCATTGAGCCGTCCCTAGGGTGGAAGGAGGAGGTGAGGGGGGACAGAGATTACGACGGACTGGGCGCGGAGGGGTGGACGAGGAAGATGTCAAGCCCCGATGCCAGAGGAGGCTGCTGTGGTGAGCTAGGCGCCGAGTCGTCCTCGTCATCCAAGACGTCCTCGACAAGGACCGGTGGCTCGTCCTCTATCTGTCGCGTCTCGGGCTGGGCAAAGGGGGTTCCCCCAGTGGCAGGCCAGACGTCCTCAGACCTGACCAGGGGCAACGAGCTACCATCAGGCGTAGCCGGCGTTGAGGAGCCAGCGGCCCCGCGTGGCCCCTGCTATGGTAGGGTTGTTGGAGTGCCGGTTAGGGAGAGCCCGCATCCTCGACATCTGCAGGGCCCGATGTCGCCGGTGGCATGGAAGGGGTAGCGGATGGGCCCGGCCTCAGCGGCGGTGGTGGCGTGGAGGGCCGCAGATGGGCTGGCGTGTCGGATCCTGCGGGGACGACCACGAAACCGCTGCTGGTGGCGGTGGCGTCCAAGGCGGCGGCCTAGCGCAGCAGGGGTTGCCTAGAATCAAAGGCGGGGGAGACAGGGGAGCCAGCATCCGGCGCCGGGAAGGGGTCCTCGGCGAGCGGAGGCGACGCCTGAGCCCCGCGCTCCCAAGCACCGGCTTCTGCACGCGGGTGAGGAGGAGCAGGCGGACGAGGGGTCCCAGATCCGACCCCGCCCGGGTCCAAGGTGGTGGCCGCAGCAACGTCCGGCCCCGGCGGTGGAGTGGCGCTGGCGTAACCGCACAATGTGGCTGGCGGCGGCGGGCATGCCACGCGCGTGCACTCCGCGGTGGAGAGGAGCGGGCTTAGGCCTATGAGGGGAGGAAGAGGAGGGGGAGAGGGAGGCGGGCGCCGGCACCAGGGCGGCTGCTGGTGGGGGCGGGGGGGTGCGGTGGCCGGCTAGGGTTTGGTGGCCATCCTCCCGTCTCTCGATTGTGAATCCCACCTTTATCTCTACATCCAGCTTGTCCATTTCTCCAAGATAAATAGTGTTTTGAGATTTGATTTTGACCAATTTGGTCAGGGTGCTATGCAAAGATTGGACACTAAATCCATGTCCCTCCAGATGACAGAGTGTACTAAACTTGTCCTCGAACCATTCCATGTTGTTGTCTATGCTTGCTTTCCTTATATTCCTCACTATGTCGGGAAATACAGCCATCAGACCTAATGCCATTCCTTCACGCACTGTTGGGGGAAATTCTCTTAGTGGAAGGAAATGCGGTCATTGAGGATGCGCACTAAACACATCCATTGCTTCAATTTGAGGCCACATAGGTGAGCTCTTGACAAACAGAGGCTTGCCATCAGCCAGTGGTGAGGGCAACAAGCTCACAGAAGCTGAGCAGCTCATCAATGGAGAACTGTCTATGGTGGATTGTGAGCTCCTAGCATTCTGAAGACGATGTAGAAAGCCCGAGCTATCATCCACTTTCCCGCCAGCCTGCTGATCCACTTTCCCACCAGCCTGTTGGACCTGATAATCAAGACAGTTGCTTTTAGCTACTTGAGTAGCAGAATGATCTGTGCACACATGATCATTTCTGTTTTAATCAGACAAAGGAGTGACCATCACCATTGAGCTATGTTCCAAACCTTCAGCTAATATGCCATCTAGCTGCTTCAGATCTTTCCTTGACTTTTTGGTGGCCGAAGATCCAAGGTCATGACTGTATTCATCACCATTGGATGTCACATCGACAGGTGAGCTTGGATTTTCACAAGACATGGACGATGCCCTCAAGTTAACCAGTCTCTTAGCAACCACAATCCTCCTTCGGTTGCCACTTAAATTGTTTGGGGAATTGAACAGATATTCATCAGCCAGCCTCAATGAAGAAAGAGACTGTGGTGAAGGCAACAAGCTCTCAGAAGCTAAGCAGCTCCTAAATGGATGTTAGCAGCCCAAATACTACGGTCGGCCCACGAGATGAAGTCACCAGCAAGCCTCACAGAGGAGCATGTGAGCGTCGGCCCAACAAGAATGTCGCCGGTGAGATGTGGGCGTGAGTGCCTGTGTGCACGAGTCCAGGGCGTAGCCCATGTAATCGCCAGTATATCAGTAGACCGAAGTGAGCGATGAGGGGTATCAAACTTGTATGAACCAAATGAACTCTGCCTAAGAACTCCTCGTCGATTCACCCCGATTCCCTCCGCTTGTTGTTCGTCCAACTCGATCCCTAATTTCTTCCACTCTTCCACAATTGCTCCTATCCCAACTCTATTGCTGCTAACAATTGGTATCGGAGGCACCGTTCCTCGGTGATTCCACTGACTACTCGCATCCCATCGATTGCTTGAGCACCGGATCCGGTCGGCTGGATTTTGATCCGCGCAGTGAGCTGCTGTTCGGATCTGAAGTCGCTGTAATTCCCTTCCACGCTCGAGCGATTTGTGGAGAGTAGGCAGCCTGGACCATCCCAATCCACTTCCCCACGACCACTTCACCCGCCGCCAACACCGATTAGGCATGATGAACCCAGAAACCAAACTCATCCTCGACGAACTCCATAGACGCTTCATCGATCATGATCTCAAGTGGGATCAGTGATTCGAGGACCGGGAGAAGCGCTTGGGTCGCCAGATCAAGGATCTGGAGCAGGCGCAGGACGCCCGCGTCTCTGCTTTGGAGAAGGCGGCAGTGTCTTTCGACGTGTGGCAGCCGAGCATCGAGGGTACCATTGATGACATCTGCCTCGAGGTGAAGAAGATCTCATTCGGTTGGGAGCGCGCTAGCATCACCCACCCGGAAGACAAGTCCGGTGTGTTCGCGGCGTCTCCCACAGCGACTCAGCGTCCGTCCGTTGAGCCTTCGACTGCACTGCCCGTGGTTGGGCCCGGCATTGCAAATCAGTTCCGGGAGAGTGGATTTAGGGTTGTTTCAACCCTAATTCATTCCCCGATCAAGGGTGAGCATCCACTTCCTAAACCCCCTGTCCCACCTTCTACCATGCATGCGTCTAGTTCTGATCCTCCCAATTCAGGGTATCATGGGAATTCCAATTCCAAAATTCCTAAGGTTGATTTTCCTAGATTTGATGGTGATCATCCCAAGCTATGGCTCAGTGATTGCTTAGACTACTTTAGCCTCTATCATGTTGAGTCCATTTCATGGGTGCGTATCGCTCGCTTGCATTTTGTTGGGGCTGCTAAGCGCTGGTACAATTCTGTAGAATCTCAGCTTCAGGGTGTAGTTGGGAAACTCTGTCCACAATGGTCATGAATCATTTTGGGAAGGATCACTATGAGCTCTTGTTACGCCAGCTTTTCCAAATCCGCCAAACTGGCACAGTAGCTGAGTATATAGAACAATTCTCTGCTATTGTTGATCAGTTAGGGGCCTATCATAGAACTACAGATCCATTGTTTTACACCATGAGGTTTATAGATGGCTTGAAAGATCATATTCGTGCACCTGTTTCTCTGCATCACCCCCCAAACTGGGATACTGCTTGTGTCCTTGCACAATTGTAGGAAGACCTGAGCGCGCAGCGGAAGCCGGAGGTTCGCAAGTGGGACGTATCGTCTAGAGCCAAGCCGTTCGCTAGGATGGCCCTGCCTCTACCTCTACCACCGGCACGCGTCGACAAACCTATGGCGCCGGTGGAACTCAAGCCTGCTCCGAACATCGGCCGAGCTCCATCTACTGATGAAAGATGGGCGGCCCTACGTTCGCTCAGGCGCTCTCAGGGGTTGTGTTTCCGCTATGGCAGTAAATGGTCACGGGATCATAGGTGCCCTCAAGTTGTTCAGCTTCAAGTATTGGAGGAAGTTTTGGGATTATTCTCGTTGGAAGAATCAACCGAGCCTTCTGACGCAGTAGTTGAAGAACCTGAACCAGCACAGCTTCAGTTGATTCTGTCCGTGGCTGCAGTTTCTAGGGTATCTGCTCCTCGCACTATGTGCTTTGATGGTCTTCTCGGCTCAGTCCCAATTAATTTCCTACTTGATTCAGGAAGTTCTCATACATTTTCAGTGAATCTGTTGCTGCTCATATGCAAGATTTGGCACCCCTATCTAACCCTGTTCAGGTCCAAGTTGCTAATGGTCAGGCTTTGTCCTGTACTCAATTCATTCATTCTGCAGTATGGTCTGTTCAGGGATTGCAATTCAAGTCTGATATCAAGGTGCTGCTGCTATCCTCTTATGACATGATATTGGGCTTAGACTGGTTAGAGAGTCACAGCCCCATGCAAGTTCACTGGGCTCACAAATGGCTCAAGATTCCTTATGAGGGTACCACAGTTCAGCTGCATGGTTTATTGTCTTCTATTCTAGAGGGATCTATTATATAGTTGTGTGCAACAAATACATCTGACGCAGTTCCACTACTTGGACACCTGAGATTAAGCAACTCCTGCATGATTGTGATGTGCTATTTCAGCAACCTTCCTAGCTGCCTCCTTCTCGGGCAACTAATCATTCCATCCCTCTGGTCCAGGGAGTAGGTGCAGTGTTTTCTAGGCCCTACCGCTTTGCTCCAGCAATTAAGGAAGAAATCGAGAAACAAGTTCATGAAATGCTTGCTTTAGGTCTTATACAGAAAAGCTCTAGCCCGTTCTCTTCACCTGTCTTGCTTGTGAGGAAGAAGGATAATACCTGGCGATTTTGCGTAGACTACAGGCAGTTAAACTCTATTACAATGAAGAGCAAATACCCGGTGCCGTTGATAGATGAATTACTTGATGAATTGGGACAAGCTTCTTGGTTTACCAAACTAGACCTACGATCAGGATTCCATCAGATTCTATTACAGCCGGGTGAAGAGTACAAAACGGCGTTCCAGACTCATTTTGGTCAATTCGAATTTCGCGTCATGCCTTTCGGGTTAACTGGTGCCCCAGGTACTTTCCAGTAAGCAATGAACTCAACTTTGGCCCCATTCGTACGCAAATATGTTCTAGTATTCTTCGATGATATCTTGATCTTCAGCAAGACATATGAAGAGCATCTTATACACATCCAGCAAGTATTTCAGTTGCTTCAGGAACATGAGTGGAAACTGAAGCTGTCCAAATGTGCGTTTGCCCAGCACAGTATTCAATATCTGGGACATGTTATTTCTGGTGATGGGGTTGCTACAGATCTAGAGAAGATATCGGTGGTATCCAGTTGGCCTACTCCTGTGTCTGTTAAAGAATTGAGGGGCTTCTTGGGGCCAGCCGGTTACTACCGCAAATTTGTAAGGAATTTTGGCCTCAATGCAAAGCCACTGACAGAACTCCTCCGGAAGAACACAATCTTTCATTGGACACCAGCCCATGAGCAGTCCTTTCAGGCACTGAAACAAGCATTAATCTCAGCACCAGTGCTCCAGTGCTGGCCGGACCGGCGACAGCGATGGCCGCCGGTGGCGGCGGCCATTGGGGATCAATGCGTGAGTCGGGTGTGTAGTCTGGTTGGACTGGTGGCTGGTACCAAGCGCAAAATGACGGCCAGCAAGTATATAATGGGCCCGATTAAGCTTACCGAACAGGCCGAAAATCGGGATATTAACAAGTTGAGACCAGCCCAGTGGCTTATTCTTCCTCCCTGACTATCCGCGGCTGCCAATTTTCAAATTATACTGTTCTGAGTTTTTTTGTCAAATACTTGTACGATATGTGTGCGTGTATATATATCATCTAATTATACGCACTACTCTCTTTCATAATTACATGTCTGTGCTTGCATGTTAATTTATTCACTATATATGAGCAACCTATATGAATAATAAACACAATGAGTGAATTTATTATTCAACTAACGTGGACCAAAGTCACCTTCATTGCTGAGAGATAAGGCTAAACTAAGATTATGAAAAATTAATTCTGATGTATCATATATGAAGATATGCAACTTATATCTATATTTATATCTATATCTATATTATCTTGTATTTTAAACCCCCACCATAAGTTCTATCTCAACATACAAGTCATCTCTTGTAAATCAAAATGCTCGAGTGCAAAGAGGCGCGGCAGGGATTAAACACAGGAAGAATAGAAAAAAATTTGAATTGTGCTTTCCATTGATTGGTCTATGGTATATGGCAAACCGTCACCTTGATGTCCCTTCGGGATGTCGGTGTTACATGGATGAATAGTAACCACAGGATGTCGGTGTTTTGTAGACCGACTAGTGAATTTATACAAATATCGCGCTGCTCCAGGAAGACGATGGTAGCATCCAAAAGACACAAGGAATTATACTGGTTCAGGCCGAAGCCCTACGTCCAGTCTTAGAGACGATCGAGTGCGTGTTCCTCGCTTGAATGCTACGAAGTTCTTACAATTGGGGTGCAAGAATGGTGGAAGAGGTAGGAGAGCTAGAGCTAGAAGATGGGCTGCCCGAACGAAAACTTCTAGAGTCCGGAGATTGTCCGGGAAGGGTGCCCTGGCTGCCCTTATATAGAGTGTAGGGCCAGGTCACATACAAAGAAGAAGGTTCTCCCGACCGAAGGGTCGTGAGCCTGAGGGAAGGGGCCTAGCTAACTTGGCATGCAAGTAACGCCGTCTTATGGTGCATGTCCGAACATGGTTGTCGTCATGGTCTTGTGCCCACATCACGGCATGGTGTGACGTGGCATTACAGTGCTGGTCGTGGCAGCACCGTGGACACGGTAGTATTTCGCCAGCCGTCCTCCGTGACGTGGTCTCGCCGTGGCCTTTGTCATCGCCTCCTGATCTCCCGGGGGCGTCGTACCAGAGTTGGTAGCCGCCCCCAGGCCGTTGACCATCCTGCTACTTGTGGTGCCGGTGGCCACAATCCCATGCTTCAGGGTCGTGGCCCTCTTTGGCTTAATCGGCGTCAAAAGTCAAGGCCGCCGTCGTGGCTCCCCATCCTGTGGTGGGTGGGGTCGTACATCTATCTCGTCAGGACGTATTTGGATGGTGGGCTGCCGTACCGACTGTCATTGCTCGATGGTGTTATCTTGTCTGCACTCCGTGGCGCAGGGATGGCGTTTGACCGGGTCCCTCAGTACTTACGGGGCCAATGCGGCGTGCCTTCTCTTGTTAGAGCTAGCACGCTTGGCGGTGCTCGATCTCTCCCTGCCCCTCCTAGAGGTCAGGACGAGGAGAGGTCATGAGGAGTTGCACGGAGTACAGTGACAGCTGAGGGGAGAGGTCATGGCCGACCCTTACCTTAGCGTTTGGCCTAGGTTCACATAGCTTAGCTGGCCCTCGATCGTTTGGGCTTATACTCGCTGGCGAACCGTGGGCCGCCTAAGTGGCTAACTAATCGGTGCTTTGAGATACCCAGGGTATCATAACCCTGACAGTAGCCCCTGAGTGTTTTTGCGATCATGAAGTGATTGTGAAAGCGCTGATGTTCACGCATGTTGAGTGCGGGCTCGTAGTCACGGCTGTCTGAGCTTCATAGCTCGACCCCTTGTGGGTTAGTGCATTCAATGCGGTAGGTTGCTATTACATCCCATCCCGTCAGGACGCCCTAATGATGTGGTACGTGACTGCTGAGCCTGGCCGTGTCAGTGTGCTACGTATCGGGGCACGTGATCTAGGCGGGGCCGTGTGGTCTCGTCGTCGCTATACCGGCTCTGCCTTTGGGTGGATCTTGATTTCCCTAAGCTCACATGGGCATATGACATCGGCTGTGACCTCCCATGGTTCTCCATGCGGCGTAGGGGTCTTAGGCTACTCAGTTCACCCTTGGGCCTATAAATAGGGTCCTGCCTTCTGTTCAAACTGCTTGCAGCAACTTCTGCAAACTTGCTCTGAGACCTTTTGAAAGGCTGAGCGAGGGAGAGAGAGAGGTTCTAAGGGGACAGTGAGGTCCCTAGAATGTGTCCCACTGGGGTCGCCTGTGGTGGCCGGAAGCTAGCACCGCCCCTTCTAACAACTGGTGCTAGAAGGAGTCTTGCGATCAGGGGGTCGGAGACGTCATGGGCACCGAGTTTGGTCGTTCGCGACCTCAGGCCTTCATCCTATCATCGCTTCTTGCTCCGGACCTTAGTGGTTTGGATGCTCGAAGTGCATAATGGCTAGGGATGTCTCCAGCTTCCCTTCGAATCCTGCGTGTAGGCTGGCGGTGTGTGGTGACCTTGGTGAGAGGTCATTTGACATCCGCTCTGGGCCACTCGTGGAACGGGAGGAGGATGAAGTAGCACTACCTTGTCACGCTGCCTGCACTGAGCGAGGCGTGATCATGACATAGCTGCACCTCGGTAGCCGGCCGGTTTCCCTTTACTGCCATGAGGATGGTGGTGGCTTTTGTAGGTGCTGGGTGGCTCCATGCTTCCCAGGAGAGCATCTTAGAAGTCTCCTGGTGCACATGGAGGTCCTCCTAGAGCCATTGGGATTTTCGTCTTCGTCCCCCTGTTTAGGTTGTGGGATCATGATGCCTGCAAGGGGGTTAGTCAGGCAAACCTTGACCTCACCCTCCTTGCTATTGTGGCATCTGCCCCTGCGGCCTTTGTCAGTGCCACCATCGAGGTGACACTGTATCCTTTGTACTTTCCTAAGCGGCGTGGCTGCTATTGTACTAGCGGATACTAAGGAAAGTGTAACACCCTCGGTGTTACATTGTACAGTTTTTGCTAAAACACTGCATGAACATCATACTTGTGTGTGAATGTGTGTAATATAGGGTGTAACGTAATGTACATAACTTGAAATGTTCGTCGGCAACACGAAACAAATGCTACACTTCATGTCGCTTTATATCATTTAGGGTTCTAAGTGAATTTTTATCGAACAAAAATGCTATAGAAAGCTTATGCGAAACTTTGATAAAGTTCGTAGTACGAACTTTGTAGGCGACGATAAAATACGTGCGGTCGAGGACGAGGTTCGCTAGCTAGTGTATCAAGTAGCTTAGAAAAGGAATTCGACGCGAAACCGTTTGAAGCTTAATCGTTTCGTGTAAGTTTGAAAATGGGTCGACGAAGCCATGTTCGACAATTTTTGTAGAACGATCGGGTTAAGAAGTGGCGAGGTGTCTTGGCTTAGTTCGATAGCCCTATGTACCGGCTTGAGGATAGAATGACTGGTTTAGCTTTTGGATCATCGAATTAGTTGTTGTAGCAGCTTTAAAAAGCGTGCACGACACGTTTTCCACCTCTGGGCGCGGTCACCGCCTCTGTTCGGCCTGGCATTGCTGTGCTGGTCTGCCCAGCGTGCTGTCGCCACCGCCGTGCTTGTGCAAGCACGCCCGCGCGCATGGCCCCTACACTGCTGGCCACGGCTTCCTACCACCACGCTCTGGCGCAGCTCGCGCACACCGCACGCGCCCAGTCGCGCTGCCCGCCTATCATCGCCGCGCGCTGGCCATTTGGCCATCACTGCAGCCCGGTCCA